ATGAGGAAAGAGTCGGACGAGTGGACATCCTAGCAGTTGGCCGGATATTATTGAGTAAGGTAAGGATCCTATAGCAAAAAGTAAGAGTAAAAGAGAAAGAGATGCTAGAGTAAAAGAGATACCAGAGTAGAAGAGAGAGATACCAGAGTAAGGAGATACCAGAGTAAAATAAAGAGATTATAGAATAAGAAAAGGAGTGGATTCTATTATTACTGGGTGTAAAACATGGGGACAAAATTGTCGAAAGAAAGGAAAATGTATGTTCATGTGTTGTCTTATATGTTAAAAGCTAGGGGCGATAAAGTTAGTGTCAAACAGTTACGTCAGTTCTTCATTTTTGTGCAGAAAACATGCCCTTGGTTCCCAGAATAAGGAACAGTTTATGAGGAAATTTGGGACAGGATCAGGAAACGGTATACAACAGAGGGTCCTAACAAGATTCCCATCTTTGCTTTCTCCCTGTGGAATTTAATTAAGGAGTACTTGAAACAAAACCCTCCAAAAGAAACTGGAGTTGGTTCAGTAACCACCAAATAACACTCCGGAGGGCTATGCCTCCCTCTGTCCTAAAATATCAGAGTTTGTAACTAAAGACGAGGATACAGAGTAATACCTGGTAAAGAAAACGACAGTCTTGTAAAGTTAGACTTAAGACTGCAGATTCCAAAGGGGTTGCAGGGCAGGAGGAGAAAGGAGCTGCTGCCCTTAGGCCTAGTACTCCCCCGCTGTGACCTGCTACTTCCCAGTCAAAACCTAACTGCACATCGAATGGCGCTAGGACAGAAAGAACAACTCCCACTTTAACGCCCCTCCAGAGAGCTTGGCATTGGTGGCAGAGGAGAGGATACATCGGGATTTAAATTGTGCCTGGTTATAGAGGCTCCTAATCCTGACAATCCAAATCAAAATCAACGTCAGCATGAGCCAATATCCTTTAAAACGCTAAAAGAATTGAAAACGGCTTGTACACAATATGGTCCCGGGGCACCTTATACAATTGCGGTATTAGAGACAGCTACGCAATCTGCGTTTACCCCCAATGATTGGCAGGTGCTAGGCAAGGCATGCTTATCAGGAGGAGATTATCTTTTGTGGAAATCTAACTGGTTTGAGGAAGCCCAAGAACAGGCGAATAGGAGTGAACAACATGGAATACCCATCACAGTTGAAATGTTAACTGGAACAAGAAAGCAGGCCAATACTGGCGCACAAATTGGATACACTCCACGGGCATACCAGCAGATTAGCATGAGATGCAGGAATTGCCGGAAAAGGCGCCCTGGTCAGGATCGAGGGACAAGTGGTTTGATCAGTATACGACAGGGACCTAGTGAGTTGTATCAAGATTTTATTTCCCGCTTGTCACAGGCCATATCGTGAATGGTCTCTGATCAGGAGGCAGGACACATTTTGTTAAAACTATGCCTCTCCTAAAGCAGCTATTGCTCCGAAAAAGAAAGGGGGAACAGTAGATTATATTAGACATTTTTAGGACAATGAAAATGACACTGCTACGTACTAAAAGCTAAACTGCTAAAAATTTAGTGTTTTGGTAAATATGTAAACTTCTACATACAAAACTGTAACCTTAATGGCCTTTCTGGAGGCATTTAATTCCCCAGTCTATTAAGATAATAAGTAGTAATAAATAGTAAATAGTAATACATAGTAATAAT